TCGTGGAATTCTTGCCAAAACCAGAATTTAAATATCTTTCAAGTGATAGAACCTTGGAAACTTCCATAATATGAGAAAGTTCTGAAGGTATGAATAAATAGCTGTTAAGTAGGCATTAGAACTGTTGTTTACTTATACTCATTCTCGCCGGATAACTTATTGGAAGTGTCCGCTGCTAATTACAACAACCAAAAACCGTAGTCAAGCTTCTTTAACCCGCGCTCGTTACGGGAATTTGTTTTCTTTTTCAAAATTAAATGTGTGGGCAGATTGTCAGCTTAGGACTTAAGAATCATCCTCCCCTACCCGAAGTTGACTCACGAAGCTCCATTTTTGCGTTGTAGTCTTATTTTGTCCTGCCATCACTTGCTCACGAGCCGCTGATCTCAAGGTGTGTAGCAAAAGCGAACGACATGTATAAATGGAAAATTCACATCTGAAAAACATGCGATGATCTTGAATCTTCGACGGCACACCAACACCCTTATTTATGGTTAGATACCTAAAAAATATCCACGGTTAGCCTACCAGTGTCATCTTGCAGCCCAGAGGAATATTTTAATTCCAGTCGCTTTTCCTCCACTCATTACCGGTTTTTAACTATGCGCAACATTGCTAAGCTACACAGATATTCATCACTATCATGGTGTTAGCGCACAGCTTAGCTGTACACTAATGTAGCTTTTATTTAGATGACGACACATTTTAGGTTGTCCGGTATGCAGGTTTGGTTTTTTCAGTTCTTGAGGTGCGATTGGTCTAATTTGGGCTCCTTATGTCCAGTCTTTTGTCGCTAAACGAATAATTATTTTGCAGTAATCGTAACTAGAATTAACGCAAACTAGGGTTTTCTTGTCATAAGTCGTTTCCATTTTGCTTACGCTAATGCTGTCAAGATTATTGAAGTTGACTACGGCCTATATTGGTTAGCCTACAGATTTGATATGAAGACGTTTTTAGTCCCAACTTACCTGCATTTGTTACGGTTGCGATCATGCCTGATCCGGCCGGCCTCGATTATCTCACGGATTATACCTATCTACGTGTGATCGTGCGCGACTCAGAAGTGAACATTTTTAATCCGTTCTCAACCAACGACGGAGGCCGAATACCGAACGTTCAGGAGCAACTTCCATGTCCTGATGGACAGTTTCGAGCCAGGTTTTGAGCTAACCACTCTTCGAACCCTCAAATTTGGTAGCGGTACCGGATCGAAACAGTAACAACTAGATCGTAAGGTGGACGACAAACAGCTTGTCCAAACCATATCTGATGTCTTTCTTGGATGATTTGGAAACTCCTTGCGATGTTGTAACAACCTTATCATTTGTGACTAAGTCGGTTTACTTCACTCGAAGGATAGTCCTCAGGCAGTGGTCAATTACCTCCGCTTTTTGCTAATTTTCCCCGCACATAGCCCAGCATTCACAACAATTTTCTGTAAGTTGACAACGATCAGTCTCGAGAGGTGCCTTCCCCTAGACAGGGATGCAGCTTGAATACATAAT